ACTGGATTAGGTTAACAGCAACTGTGTATAAGCAAGGATTAGGTTTGCAGCTGGCATCTCAGAATGCGGGTTGGGGCACCAGCTCAAGGGATTGGGGATGGGACCCTGGCTGGCAGGATGAGGATTGGGGGGACACAGCTGCAGGATGGGGATGGGAACCCTGTCGGAGGGATGGGAACAGCACCGGCCCTAGGATGGGGGATGGGGGACGGTTGCCCCTGCCAAGGATGGGAGGATGGCTGACCAGTACCCCGTCCCCCCCCCCCCCGATAGGGGAATTGGACCCCTTTTGCAACACCCCTCTGTTTGACCCCTGGTCAGCGGTGTCGTGCGTCTCTCGCTCTGGAGATACTGCCCAGGTAGGTGATACTCAGACCCCTACTGGACGTGTATGTATATATGTTTATATACATACATATATATACATATACATACATATACATACATATACATACATATACATACATATACATACATATACATACATATACATACATATACATACATATACATACATATACATACATATACATACATATACATACATATACATACATATACATACATATACATACATATACATACATATACATACATATACATACATATACATACATATACATACATATACATACATACATATGCATACATACATATGGTATATATATGGTTATAAACAAGTATCTGACCAGGCCTGACGACACTGGCCATGGCTGCTGCCCAGTCCCGACGGGAAGACCGCCTAGGCTCTCTCTCCCGCGGACGGGAAAGGGGCGTGAGGGGCCTCTGCCCCCCCCCCTAAGCACCCGTGAGCCGCAGATCCGCTAGCTCCGCTCTCCTCCCCCCGGGGGTGGGGGTAGGAGGTGTCGCACGCGCGCAAGCCAAGAGACTCCGCCACGCGAGTTTGCGCACTGAGCCTGAAACACGAAACAAGACTCTCCTCTACCTCTCCGGCCTGATCCGGCTCTTGGGGTGAGGGTTCACTAAGACAAAGGAAACCCGGAACCCCTGTACAGTCAGTCCCTACCCCTCCCTACCCCGGCAAGAGGCCCTATTAAAGAGGCCCTAATGAAAAGGCCCTATTTAAGAAATCGTGTGTGTTGGGGCGTCCTCACCCACCCCTCACGCCCCCACACGCGCCCCACCCGCCCCATTCCGGCTCCCCCCTCCCACCCCCCGCCCGCATAAGGCCCCACGTGTTGCTCCTGGACGAGCCCACCAACCACCTGGACCTGATCACGGTGGACGCCCTGACGGTGGCCGTGAGGCCCCCCGTCCACCTCCCCAGTGGCGGGTGGCGGCGACGTCCTCACGCAGCTGACCAACGGGGACCCTTATAGCGGTCTGGCGTTCCTGGCTGCTTCCAACCTGGTTTCGGAGAGGGCAGCCGGGGCAGATCTACGGGCCGCGGCGTTGCCCAGCACCAAGAGCGGTACATTCGTCACGCCGCTGCAGGCAAGTGTGGGTAGTTGGGCTATGGTTGGAGGTAAAGGACACGGGATGTTAACGGCATATTAATGATTATTGTTTGTTGATCGTCATATTAATGATTTTTGTTTGTTGATCGTCATATTAATAATTATTGTTTGTTGATCGCGCTCCAACAGTTATTGGGTCCCATACCTTTTGCCGGGGCCCCGGGCCATTCTCCCGCATCAGGTCCGCCCCACCACGCTCTTCTTTCGTCCCCCCGTTGGGGGAAGAACCACCCAGTTACATATTTTACCTTCACCCCCCGATTACATTTGTCGGTATCCGCAGTCAAGTTTACGACACTGAGCAGTTGTGTCATTTCTCGCCCTCTGAATCCAGCCCAGACTTTTACCGCTTTCCCCATCCCGGGCTCATCATCAGCTCTTACCAGATGCGCCATTGTCTGTTTTGTGGAATCATCATCATCATCAGCAGCAGCGATATAAGTAGCAGCAGTACCGGCGGTTCGCATTTTTGTACATCTCTATCGCCGTTGTTGTTTTCTCTTACTTGTTATGGATGCTACACACAAGTAACGTAACTCCCCCTCTCTATATGGCTTTGGATGCCAGTCGGCAGTTGAAGAGTTGATCCTTTTTGTTTCTTAGCACCATATAACTCCTCCCCGTCCTACACCCCACACCCCACAACCCACGCCCCGCCCGTTCCCCACCCCGCACAGAGCCCAGGCCTGATCAGCGACAGCTACTGCCTCTCCTCGGGATGCCCCCTCCTAGTCGGCCAGGCGTATACGGCGGTCGTGGAGGTAGCAGCCAAGTCCCAGACCGGCGGATCGGACGATGCGTTGGGGGCGGTTCCCTGGGACCCCACGGGCAATTGGGCCGGCTGCTCCCTGAGCTATGGAGGGAAGGAAGGGGACCTGTACCCCGTGGCCAGGTGCGTGCGTGTGTGTGTGTGTGTACTTGTATGTCTAGGTTTTTCTTTCGCGTGTTTGTGTGTGTGTGTGTGTGTGTTTCTGTGTTCGGGGGGGTTGGGGATATCCTTGGTGTGTGGCGCGTGTGGTTGATGAAGGGGGGGGGAGGAGGGGAGGGAGAGGGGGGGAGGGAGAGGGGGAGGGGAGGGGGAAAGGGAT